TTAATAGAGGTTCACCTCCTTAGCAAACTTGCTTTACAGGTTGATTAATAATGACAACCTTGTTTAAGAGGCATTCCTTTAAAATATCTGTTGCTCAAGTGAAATTTACTAGAAAAGGCAGCATGCTTGGCTTTTGGCATTGTAGACAGTGCCACCAGGAGGCCAGATTAAGGCTGCAGTTGTAAATAAAAAGTTCACGGCAGTGTTTCTCAACCTTGACAATTTTAAGGCATGTGGACTTCAACTCCCAGAATTCCACAGCCAGCAATGCTGGCTGTGGAATTCTGGGAGTTGAAGTCCACATGCCTTAAAATTGTCAAGGTTGAGAAACACTGAGTTAAGGGCTAATGTTGTACAATTGTACTGGCTCTTTGAAAGTGATAAGGGTTCATAGATTTTTTTTTTCAGTATTGCTGCTCTGCTATCTTGTTGTAGCCATTCATTGTTACAAATCAAAGTTTTCAAAGAAAAAAGATAATTACAATTAGAAACTAATTTGAATATCTTTTAATAAGTTTAGGACCAAGCTTTTACCTTATTTTGACAAAGAAACTATATTTTTGGGCATTTTCCTAGAAACTGGACAGTGTTGTTATTTTTAATGGCAATTTTCACCTTTCACAAGAGGTATTATAGGACAATCTTGAACTATAAGAACTCTCCAAAACGGAAGTATAACTTTCAGCTCTGTGCCGGTATTTGTACTGTGCTTGTTGATGATTCAGATACAATGATTAGTGTGTGACTGAAGACAGGTAAACTTCTCTGTAAAGCAGCCATATCATTTTTCAGGTTTGTGTAGAAGTCAGACTAAAAATGCAGTTGCTTTAAAGAGGGGTCTGCTTGCCCTCCTGCACTGTCTGAAGTACCTCTTAGACCAGCGGTTCTTAACCTATGGGTCGACCATTTCACGGGAGTCGCCAAGCAAGGCTGTCCGCCATTTTTTTTCCCCTTTTCCGGCGGGTGTCTTACCTCCCTTGGGCTGGGCCAGCTGGTGGTCGGCCTGCTCCGTCTCTGCCGCTTGCCAGCTACGCCTCGGCCGGCGCAGGGGGCGGAACCACGCATGTGCGGCGCTCCCGGGCAGGGAAAGTCCTCGACTTATGACCGGTTGGGTAGTCCTTGACTTACGACCGGTTTAGTCCTCGGCTTATGACCGGTTTAGTCCTCGACCTACGACCGGTTTAGTCCTCGACTTACGACCAGTTTGGGGTCGCGGCATTAAAAAGGTTGAGAACCACTGTCTTAGACTTAGCTAGAGATAAAAAAACTAGGTATGTACTTGTCAAGTCTGACTTGCTTACAGTTTCATAAGAAATGGCTTGGCCATCTTGGAATTGCTGTATAACAGAAATCATAATATAAGGCATTGAGAGCCAGTGTGATGTACTGGTTAAGATGCAGGACTGGCACTGAGACCAGTGCCACCCTTACCCCAGTAGCACACTCATTGCCTTTAGGTAAATCATTCTCTCCCAGCCCAACCTGCCTCACAGGGCTGTTGGGGAGAATAGGAAAAGAAGCCAATATATCCACAATCTTGAGCTCCTGAATAAAAAGGTGAAATACAAATTGAACATATAAATACAAAATATATTTGGACACACACCCCCTCCTGATATTCAGCAGATGCCTCCCCTCTAGTCTTCTGAAAAGCCCTGTAGACCTGGCTTTTTCCACAAGCTTTGGGGTGGTGTGTGGTCTGAGCCAAGAAAGGTTGTTTGTTGGATGTGAGGGGTTTATTGCTTTTGGAGATGCTGGCTTTTACATGTATTGTTTATAAGCTGTCCAGGGTGGTGCTACATACATGAGCAGCCATATACAGTATATCTTATTAATTTTGCTAAAATAAGGGTATACTTTTACAGCCAATTTTACCAGTTAGTAGAAAAGCAATTGTGTTAGCAATTAGCAATAGTATGTAATAGCAGTAGCATCTTCCATACTGAAACAGCTTTGGCGTGACTCATTAGAGTCCTGTTGGTGAATATCATTTGGACTCCGTATGTGCAGCTCTCCAGCAGTGTGGTACTTGCAACAAATATTGTTGTTATATAATAGTATTATGAGATCTGTGTCACAGAAAAATGGTCCTTGCTGCCATCCCTTTATGCAGCTTCAAACCTGAGTCAATAAATTAATAAGATAACTCTTATTGTCATTTTTTATTGTGGATACACTGGCACACATTAAAAATGAAATTCTGTTGCTTGCTCTCAAAAGTGTACACATACATAACACACATATAAACAGGCTATATACAACATATATACACCCCTACATATAAATAGATATAAATATATAAATAGATATAAATATTAATCACTGTCCATCTTGAATACATAGCAGAAGTTAATTAACATATGAACAACACCAGTATTACTGGGCTTCCATGGTATCAGAGTAATGCCATGTCACTCAGATTGCAGATAATAATAATAATAATAATGATGATGATGATGATGATGATGATGATGATAAAGTTGGAAGGGACCTTGGAGGTCATCTAGTCCAACCCCCTGCTCAGGCAGGAAACCCTATACCATTTCGGACAAATGGCTGTCCAGTTTCTTCTTAAAAACTTCCAGTGTTGGTGCATTCGCCACTTCTGGAGGCAGGTTGTTCCACTGGTTAATTGTTCTAACTGTCAGGAAGTTTCTCCTTAGTTCTAGGTTGCTTCTCTCCTTGATCAGTTTCCATTTGTTGCTTCTTATCCTGCCTTCAGGCACCTTGGAAAATAGCTTGACTCCCTCTTCTTTGGGGCAGCCCCTGAGATATTGGAACACTGCTATCATGTCCCCCCTCGTCCTTCTCTTCATTAAACTAGACATACCCAATTCCAGCAACCGTTCCTTATATGTTTTAGCCTCCAGTCCCCTAATCATCTTTGTTGCTCTTCTCTGTACTCTTTCTAGAGTCTCAACATCTT